GAAAGAGAAAAACCCAGAGCTGCAGAGGCTACACCAAGATCTGGAGGAGCTGAAGGCAGCCCAGGTCGGGAGGAGGAAGGAAAACGGGGTCAGTTTGGAACGCAAGCCGCAAGGGAAACGTTGGGACGTGGAAGGCAGGCAACTTATCTGCGGCTAGCACACTGGAGCCAGGACGGGGGAAATTCAGTGGCTTCGTCCCTGAAAGGCCCATTCAAGCACAGGCGGCAGCAGCCAAGGAGAAACTAAGAGATAAGGGCAAAAACAACAGTAAAACTGGAATGAAATGACAGCCGTAAAGCCAGTACCGGGAGGGACAGTAAAACCGGAGTTTGGCAGCAGCCAGCAGCCCTACACTAATTCCTTTTTTTCTTATTAAAACGCTCTCGTTACGGATTAACGCCCTTTGCTCAGTATTTATTGTTTCATCTGCCCTGGAAGGGGTCCCGCGGGCATTTCGGAGCCGGGATCACGAGGCGCAGAGGCACAGGGCTGCACGTCCTTGCCTTCAGCGGCGGCTTCTGCGGGGAGCAAAGGGAGGGGGCAGGCGGCGGTGGCTTGGGTTTAGGGCTCAGGAGGTCTGTGCCAGGGCTGCAGCTGCCTCGCTCCTTCGCGCACATGCTTTGGCGGGTGCTTAGGACATGCACACGTAGCCAAAGGTGACGAACGTGCCGGGCTGGGAGCTTCGTCTCACCCAGAGGTTGCGAGACTCACCCCTGGCCGCGGAGCGAGTCAGCGTCGGAGCCGGCGCTGCGCTGGGTCTCCCAGCACGCAGGAGCAAGACCTTTGGGCGATGCGGGTTGCCAGATGTGGTGCACGCATCTGTCCACTGGGCTCAGCACTGTCCGTCCTGCCAGAGCTCCTCGCCAAAGGCATCCCGTCCCTGGCAGGTCCCAAAAGCAGGTCTCCAGCTGGACGGACGGTGCAATGCCTGGTCCGTGTCAGGACCACGTCCTGACCCTCAACTGAGCCTTGCTGCTCTCAGTGCTGTGTCCTGGCACCCCGTACACCCCAAAACGTCCTCCACCAACCCACACATCCCACCCCAACCTGCTCGGGCAGAAGGGCTGCTTTTGCCGAGGGTGCTTTACTAGACTTTGTTCTCCTCCGGACGAGAGGTTTTTTCTCCCAGGAGGGGCTGGTCCCCACGCGCCCGGTCAGGAGTCCTCTGGCGTCTGCCTGCTAACTAATTCTCGCAGAAGGGACTGGGCTGAGACTGAAGCAGTCTGACTTTACCACTCACCTTTATCACTTGACACCCACCCATGGCACAAGCCTCCTCCCGCCTGACACGAGAGACGATGGAGACGGGCAGTCCTGCAGCCCAGGGTGTGTTTCATTTTTCCCTTCAGTCGATCCAAGGCTCCAGCAGCAATGGGAAAACCACTTCCGTTCATAGCCTGACCCATTTGCCTCAGCAGCATCAGAAAAACAGATGAAAATGAGACTAAATTTCAGTCCATCCCTCCTCAAGTGGCTCTAAATCTCCGCATCCCCACTGGGCTAATACCTTGCTCCTTGCAGAGCGCGGGACGTGCCAACACGCCGACTCAGCTCTGGAAGCCAGCACTGAAGCACCACCGCCCTTTCCTAATCCCTCACAGCTCTTCTAACATGCCACAGCGAGAGCAAACGTCTCCATGGGATCTCGATGTGTTTTTAATGCGTTAACTCCGTGCCAGAGGGCAGCCACCAAAAAGCTTCAGCTGGAGCTTTGCTCCTTCACTCAGTTCGCCCTCGCTCCCCCTGTCACCTTCTGGTTGCCCTCCTCCTTCCCTCCTGGAGCGGTCCAGCATCGGGACTTCAGAGGATGGACTTGCCCGTATGAAACCCAGTTTGATGTGCGGCCAAGAGCAGAGCAGCACCAGCTGGACCCTGGAGGGGTAGTGCTTGGAGCACAGCCGCAGCATTTGCACTGTGCCACATGCGTGCTTGCAGCCCTGTTCACACCGCACACCATCCCTGTGCCCCCATCCCTCCTTCTTGCCCTGGTGGTGGTGCCGGGAAGGGAGCACATACAGCAGAGAAGAAGGGGCAGAAGATGGAAGGTGGCTTTTCTGGCCTAAACTCAACAGTTTTCCATGCAGCTGGCTCCAGGCTGGGACACTGCCGCACTCAGGGGAACTGGTGCAGGAGAGGTCTTCCTGTTGAGACGATGAGGCTGGGTATTAGGTATTGGGTATTGCTAAGTGGCAAGTATTGCTTCCTGGGCTGAAACCTCAGCCCAGCACATTGGTGCAGGTGTTGGAGATCTTGAACAAGCTCTCCACAACTAAAAAGCAGTGTAGCTTCGGGCTTCCCGAAAAGCCCTGTTGGAGGCAAGAGGGCTCCTGAGGTTCAGGACAGCGGCGACCCTGCTGTCACAGTACAGGGCAGGGGACATGCAGCCAGTTCCCCTCCTGGGGCATTGAGCATTGGCAGCCTCAGTTTCCCTTCAATGCTGCCAGGCCACGAGGGGGGGGGGGGGGCCCCCCCCCCTCCAGCCACTCTGCTATCCCACGCCGGACCAGACACTTTCAATCTCTTCCCCATAAATTACTCCTCCACCCTTTTTTTTTTTTTGGGGGGGAGTACAGCTGCATTTTAACTACCGAAATATAAAAGGCTTCGGGGCCCTATCGCAAGGCAGTGATGGTTCCTGCGCATTGCAATGCATTTGCACCCCAGCCGCAGAGCCACAGCCGCTGTTTGCTCCGTCTGCACCGGCTCAGTCCCGACTCCTGCAGACACGAGCCACCCTCACCTTCCCGGGCCTAGAGAAACTGCTCCGTCTCTTCCTCTTGGGCTTTCCCACCCCCTCGCACACAAGCTAACAATACCCAGGCAAGCAGAGGTGGATCTGTCGCCTGTCGCAGAGAACAGGGGGAAGCTCAGTCCAGCTCCCACAGCTGCTGCCGGCCTCCTGGGAGAGCCGGGCCGTATCCCTGTCCTTCTCCTCCTCCCAGGCCTGAGGCTACAGGTGACTTCACCTCTGAAGTTTTCCAAAAATGTTTCCTGATGTGAAAAAAAATAAAAATAAAAATAAGAGATAACCCACACACCACTTACCCCAGCTCGGAGCTATTGCAGCAGCAGCTAATTTCCAGCAGCCACTACCTGGCAGGAACGGCAGCCCCGCGCGGGCATCCGCGCTCCTCGGCACACACCGTCTCCCTAGGTTTCATCCTAAATCACAAGGCAACAAACAGGCTGTTCATTAGGCACTGTTTAATTAAGCAATATGGATCCTGCCTTGATATTTACAATCCCACTTGTTCGGATTTATTAGAGAAAGTGTCTCGTCTTTAAAGACGGCGACTGTAAAGTTTAATACCGCTTGACTTATTGCGAGTTTCGTTTACGGCTCTGAGCTGACGCGACGCGGGCCAGGCGCGGAGCCGGTGGCCTATTAAATCAGAGCTAACTATGCGTGCAGGAAGAGATGACTAGCTTCGTTACAACCGGTTCGGTGGTTAATTACCCCAATCTGCATTCACATATTTAAGCCAATTCGCTGTCGCTTTTCCAGGCCCTGGGGAAAGCCAAGCAAATCCGAGGCCGGTGCGTGGCGAACGTGCTCGTGAAGAGATGGCGACTGCAGACGAGATGGTGACAGAGCCCTGCGGTTCCCAGCTCTCAGACCTTGCACAGGCACCGGCTGTCCCGGGAAGGAATAAGAGAGTTGGCAAAAGGCCTGGCTCCGAGCTGGGGCGTCTCCCTTCCTCCTGTCCCCGGGCTGAACGACGGCTCCGAGCTCGAGAGTCACCCCGTGAGCTACCAGGTCCGCGCGCTCGGACAGCCGCAGGCCAGGCGATGGGCCTGGCTCGGGGACGGGGACATCACGAGCACGGGAGGAGGGGGCCCAGCACCCGCATCCAGCCCGGCTCCGAGCTCCCCCGGAGCCGCACGCTGTCCCGACCCGTCTCCAATCCCAACCCCACGGGGCAGCGATACGGGAGCAACGCACAGACCTGGGGAGGGGGAAGCAGCACTTGCCAGAAGTCGTTGTTTAGCAGGTGGCGAATGAATCCTGAGAAGAACATTCACCTCCTTGCAAGATATTTCTAGCCCCCAGGAGACCAATTACAGACTTTGCAATAATACAGGCCTCATCAGGGAGTTAAGAGAATGGCTCTTTGATGACAAATCAAAAAAAAGTTGCATGAGAACGCGACGGCAGATGGTGCTCAGCACCCAGCACCCTGCGAGGAGCGTCCCCACCAGGGCACGCCCCCAAGGCTGCCTACCCGCTCCCTCCAAATCGGCCCCGGTGCCAGCCCGGTTGCATCACTGCCCGGGACCAACCCCTGCAAGGCCCCAGGGTTTTCCCCAGCCCCAGGAGCGAAGGGAAGGGGCTGCAAGGGGGAAGCAGAGATCACAGAGCTGTTTGCAGCATCCCTCCAGCCCAACAGCCAGGCTGCTGGTCCCCCGGCCGCACGGGGTGGGCACAGAGGGGCTGGCAGCACGGTGAGCTGAGCTGGACCCACCTGCATCCCTCTTGGACTCAGGGAAGATCCAGCCCTCTGCTGCATCCCATCAGCTCCTGCAGCCCCGTACAGCACCCGCAGTACCTGCTGGCCCGCAGCAGGCAGGAGGAGGACCACGGCCAACCCGTGGCCCCAGGCAGAGAAGAGGAAGAGGAGCAGCCCTGTGGCTCAGCCCTGCCCCGCAGCAGGGGATCTGTGTGCTCAGCCTCTGTGCAGCCAGGGAGCCACAGCCAGCAGTTTCCATGCAGCAAGTTTGCCAGGCCTCAGCCCTCCTAGGAGGGCATGGGTAGACCTTGAGCGGCAGAAACACCTCCCCGCTGTCAGCTCCTCCCTGAGCCTTCAGCTCTCAGGGACAGGCTCAGAGCTCCCCCCAGGGAGGAAGAAGAGGCAGTGCAGAGCCAGAAACAGCAGCAAGTGGCACGGGGCTATCTGGCATCTCCTTTGCAGCCCCCAGCGTTATTCCTCCCGACGGCAGCTGGGGTAAGAGCCCCCCCACACAGCTGTACCCTCCCATGAAGGGCCAAGAGCCAGCAGGCCACAGGCAGAAGCACTTTGCTTACGGGTTTTATTGGACAGAGGGGCTGCGCTCCTCCCTGGGGCAGGCAAACCCACCAGCATCATTCCCAGCTCCACTAGTAAGAGACAGGTTTGAGAGGAGGGTAAGCCCTTCAGTGCTGATAACAGCACTCTTTGGAGACAGGAAGACGCAACCTGGGATGAGGAAGGAGACAGCGGGAATGGTATCGCCTGCACATGGATGCAGCAGGATTAGGACAGGGGTTACCTGTACACCAGCAGGCAAAATTGGCCCACAAGTGAGGCCCAGCTGTGGCAAGGCTCAGGAGAAGGTGCCTCAGCAAGGAAACTGGAGGGCTCACAAGTGAAGCGAGTTCACAAGCCTCAGCCTAGCTCTCCCTGCTACCCAGAGACTCCTCTCCCTGGCCCTGCTGAGCAAAGCCAAGGGACAACTCCACTGCTCCTCGTCACGATGCCTCCTCCTTGGGCCTCCGCTTGTAGTGCACTTCGGGGAGGTTCCTCAGGCGCTCGGCAGCCTGCGGGGCAGAGCACGAGGGTCAGACAGGCAGATCCCAGGGACGGCCCCGGCACAGGTCACCGCGGCCCCTGGGAACGCGCCCTTCCTACCCACTCCACCAACCCCAGCTGCGCTCACCTGCTCCGGGGTGAGGTCTCTCTGCGCCTGGGCGAGCATCTCGTAGCCGACCATGAACTTGCGGACGGTGGCGGAGCGGAGCAGGGGTGGGTAATAGTGGGCATGGAGCTGCCAGTGCCCACAGTCCTCCTCCAGGTGAGGGCCCGTGGGGGCTCCTGCCAGGGGTGCAAGTGCTGTGCGTGAGACCAGGCCCTGCCAGGCTCCCTGCCCCACTGTGGAGGGGACAGTGACACAGAGGACACAGCAATCCAGCCCCATGCTGAAAACCCAAACTGCACAAGCGTCACAGCCTTCTGGGCACCGAGAGAAACAGCCAGGCAGCTCCTGTGCCCCTGTAACCCTGGCGCTCAGAGCCCCCCAGATAGTCAACTACATGAGTAGGGGAAACTGAGGCAGGGTGGTCTGTACACCCTCCCCACAGCTGTATCCCACTCCCCAGCACTGCTGGATGCTCAGCCTCCCCACTAACCATCGCATCCTCTCCACTTCTCACGATGCAGAGGGAACCCAGGAGCCCCGGTTTTCCGCGCTCAGCAACACTGAGCAAACCAAGCCTGGCCCAAGCAGTGGGTTTGATCCCCTGCCAGGAGCAAACAGGCACCATGGGGTGAATGAGATGGTTCCAGGTCTATCCAGCACCCCCAACCCAGCCACTCACCATGCCAGCCCATGGAGTAGGGGAAGGAGATTTCAAAGAGGTTGTCATACTTGATGAGAAGCCTCTGCATGATGGACGCCAGGCCTGCAATGGAAGCGTTAGGGTAGTCACACCTCGAGCTGCCCATCCTGCTTCTCCTCGCGGCCCGGAGGGCAGGCAGCACCAGGCAGTCCACCAGGCTGGGGGCGTTTACCCAGGGCACCCCTCCCTGGGCAGCACCGCCACAGTGAGCTGCCTTCCGAGCTGGCCAGGGACATCAGCGACAGCAGGAGAGATGCAGGCGGCATGCTGGCCACCTGCTTCCCTCCCCACATATTCGGACACACGGTGTCCGAGCAACGAGGCCAGAGGAGCACCCATTTCTGATCAGCCAGCATTGCAAGAGTATTGGGCACTATGTGTTTCATCACTCCAGAAAAGAATCTCGGTCCCGCACTGGCGTGGTCAGATCCCGGACACGTGGGTCTGTCCCCCCCTGCACTGTGCCGGGGAGGGCAGACGGGACGGGCATACCTGCCGGCCCAGAGGATAACAAGTAGGGAGCCCGTCTCCCACCAAGCTGACCCCTGCCCACCCCACACCCAGTCCTGCTCCCCACAGGGATTCCCAGCAGCCTGGCTGGTGCTGGAGAGGAGCTTCCTCTTAGGAGCCATCCCTTTGCTGAGCCCAAAGGGCCCAGGAGTCCTAGCTTTGCCACAGGTCTCTCCTTGGCCAGAGAGAGGGGATCACACCGTCCCCAACCAGGCAGAGCAGAGTTACGGGGTGCGAAGCCACTCACTGTCCCTCTCGCCCTCACGGAGGTCCTGCAGGCGACAGACGTGACGGCGGGGCAGCAGCAGGGTCTCGAAAGGCCACGTGGCCCAGTAGGGCACCACGACCAGCCAGTCCGCGTTCTCCACCACCAGCCGCTCCTGCAAGACACGCCACTCGAGGGAGCCATGTGCAAGCCCGTCACTCCAGGGACCCCAGCCCTGGGCTCACACACTCCCAGTTCCCACACGACCTGCTGTTGGGAGCTGGACGGG